CGGGGGGCGGGGGGTGGGGGGCTGAATTAACCCTTTCAGGCCCCCCACCTCCAAAGCACTTACCATTCATGTCTCCCCCGGGCATTGGGGATCGGGGCAGCGTCATCGCCCGTCGCTCTAAAGGAGGCAAAAGGAGCCAGGGTTAGACCCATGTCACCAGCCCCCCCACCCCTAGTGGGAGAGCTTGGTGGGGGGTCTACCCCTAACCTGCCCCTCCCCCCCATTGCAAAGGACAGTGGGATAGAGGGGGACTCACCTTCATTGACCGGGGGAGGAGGCGGGGGGAGCTGCCGTTTCTCTGAGGAAAGAGGAGAACATGCACTGTGACCCTGGCACGGGCTGGCTCAGGGGGCCGGGGAACGGGGCACGGGGCCTGTCCCCTCTAGGGGGCACTGGCCGGCTCCCTACCCCTCCACGTACCCATCCGCTGCTGTCGCTTCTGGACCTTCTCCTCCACCAGCGCATAGAAGTCGCGGGCCTCAGCCTCGTCCGCAAAGTTCAGCCCGGCCTGGCATTCCTGAAAGCAAAAGGCACCTCGCTGGTCCTGGGGGGACCCAGAGCCGGGAGAGAACCCAGGAGTCCTGGATCCCAGCCCCCCTGCTCTAACCACTAGCCCCCACTCCCCTCCCAGAGCCAGGAGAGAACCCAGGCATCCGGGTTTCCAGCCTCACTTCTTATTGGTAGCCCTCAATTTTCTCCTTCTTTTCACCCCCCTGTCTCTGAACTGTTGTCTCCGGGGGCAGGGCTATGTCTGGCAGCCCCGCCCCACTGATCAACCCCCCCCCCCCCCCCCGGCCCCCCGGCCCCCTCTGGGGCAGATACTCACGTCCCCGGGGAAGGTGTGGAAATAGGGGGTGACGGCAGAATAGACCAACTGGCTGGAGAGCTCCAGCTCCCATGTGAGCCTCCTCTCCTGCAAGAGAAAGGGGAATCCTGGTTAGCACCCCGCCAGCAGCGGGCGCTGGGAGCCAGGACGCCTGGGTTCTTTGCCCGACTCTGGGAGGGGAGTGGGGGCTAGTGGTTAGAGCAGGGGGCTGGGAGCCAGGACTCCTGAGTTCTCTCCCCAGCTCTGGGAGGGGAATGAGGACTAGTGGTTAGAGCGGGGAGGGCTGGGAGCCTGGATTCCTGGGTTCTCTCCCCGCCTCTGGGAGGGAGGTGGGGTCTGGTGGTTAGAGCAGGGGGTTGGGGGCTGGGAGCCAGGACTCCTGGGTTCTCTCGCCAGTGCTGGGAAGGGATGGGGAGCCGCCAGGGGGAGGACAGGGACTCACCTTGAGATCGAAGAGGCGGATGAAGTAGGAGCGCCGGGGGTTGTCCTTGACCAGGCACAGGACCCCGCAGCCCTGCTTACCCCACACCTGGCTGTTGGGGGGCATGGCCTGGTACAGCTGGGCCACCGACGTGGCCAGGGTCTGGCACAGAGACAACCGAGTTACAGAGAGATCGCGCCTGAGATGCAGCCAGCTCTGGGGCGGCTGGGGAACAGCCGCACAGAATGCCACGGGGGGAGGGCTCGTCCGGCCCTAAGTGTGGCCCCCCGGGGCTGCCAGTTCCTGTCTTGGTTTCCGATGTTGGCTGAGGCTCCGGGCTCCCCAGCGTCACCACGCCGCGCCCCTCACAGCCCCCGTCAGCACCACTCACCCCACTTCCTCCTGAGCGGAGGGGGAGGGATGCAGCAATGAAGGTGCCCCTCACTCCTGACCCGCAGCCCCCTGCTAGCCCAGCTCTGCTGGTGCCCCCGCCTCCACTGCAGGACCCTGCTAGCCCAGTGCTCCCCTGTCCCCAGCCCGGCTGGTGCCCCCCACTCCCGACCTGCAGCCCTGGGCTCCCCACCCTCAGATCTGCCAGTCCCTCTCATTCCCGACCTGCAGCCCCGTGAGCCCACTCCCCTTCTGCGCCCCCACCCTCTCCGGGCCCCCCCCACTCCCGACCTGCAGCCCTGGGTTCCCCCGCAGCTCTGCCGGTGCCCCCCACTCCCAACCCCCAGCCCCTGGTGTCAGCACCCTCTGGGCCTCACGCCTCACCGTGCATTTCCGGCCCAGGAGCTCAAACACCTGCTGGTTTTCATGATCCCGGAGGAGCTGGGAGGGGACGTTCTCCTGCTGCCCTCGCGCCCCTGACCTGGACCCCCGGCTCATGCTGGCTCCTGTCTCCAGCCCCCAGCGGGTTCTCGGGGTCTCTCCCCTCCCTGAGCTCGCCCCAGGGAACTTCCGCGTTGCGGGGACTTTTTTCAACAGGAAGCGCAGAAAAAACCACCGACCAACGCTGAGCGCCCGGGGCCTGGGGAAGTTGGGCTCTGCGAATGGCCCCAGCCAGGGCTGGGAGTGAGGGGCACCAGCAGAGCTGGGGGGCAGGGGGGAAACCTGGTGACGGTTGGGGCCGGCCTGCCTCTCCGAGCAATGGGCTCAGGCTCTCAGCAAACTCAGGCAACATTGCGTCCGCCTGGCGCCTGGTCTGTGGTTCCTATGCAGCCGTTTGGGGGGTGTGGGGGCATTTTCTGAGTCCGACGCAGCTTCGGGGGTGTGGGGACCACCCCCAAGTCAGAGGAGGGCGGCCTAGCTGTGCTGGGGGGGGGGGGCTGTTTCGGGGATTGGCTCTAGCTGCCTCTCTATGGTGGGTAATGTACCGCTAGGGCCCTGCCCCCAACCCCCGTGCCCCGTCCCTCCCCCCCTCCCCCCCCTGCCAACCCCCCCCCCCTTCCCCCCCCCCCCCCCCACACCCCCCCCCCACCTTCCCTCCCCTGCCTCCTCCATCTCCCCCTGCCCCCTCCCCCCATAACCCCCAGCCTCCCCCTCCCCTCATAGACCCCCCCTTCCCTCTGACCCACACACACAGACGACTCGGGCAGGGGGAAAAAGTCCGGTTGCTATTTATTGAAACCCAGAGCGACCGTACAAAAGCCACCGGCTCCATGCATCGTTTTCACCTTGCGCTGCCCCTCCCCACAGCATCGCCCCCCCCAGCCTTGGGGGGGAACCCCTGCTGCAATGGGGAGGGGTCTTTTGGCTTTGTCCGTAGCACTGGGGACGGTGCAGGATCGGGCCAGACGTGCTGACCGAAATAGTGCTTCGAGGGGCCCTTTTATCCCCGCTCCCCCCCCCCAGTAAAGCCTCGTGCGTCTGGAGTCACGTGAATCCAGGCAGGATCAATGGACCAAGACGCTGACTTTAGGGGCTGGCGGGACGAGGGTTTTCAGTTCGGGGAGCCGTCCCCGGTGTGATTATTCCATCCAGGCCAGCCCTGAATTAACCAGGCCTGGAACCCACCCACCCCAGAATCTGAACCCGGGACCCTTCTACCAGCGTCCCCGAGTCCCAGGCAACGCTAGGCCCCAAAAAGGAAACGCGACGGTTTGGCAAACGTCCTGAGAGTTAGTAAGGGGGAAAGCCGAGTTTTCAGACTCTCCCATGAGGGCAAAAATCCCGCTTTCCAAAATGGTCTTTTTCTTGTTTCTCCTTCCGGGAAAGGACATTTGGGGGGACGACACAAGCGGGGGTTGGCAGCGTTGGCTGGACAGGACACGTCTCTTTTACCAGCCCGACTGCCAGGGGAAGGACATGAGCTCTGCAGAAGTTCGGAAATGTGTCTCTTTCCCCAGCTGTCGGCCCAAGAAAAGAGATCACTTGCTCTGAGTCGGCTGCGTGATCGCCCAATTTTGGGAGGGGGGGGTTCCCCGGGTGGCTCGCAAAACGTCATTGTTTTCTTCGGCTCCGGGCCAGACCCAGAACCGGAGGATTCTGACAGACCTGTTGCGGCACGGTAGCTTTAGTTGGGCCGAGCCTGGATTTGTTTATCATGGCAGCCAATTTCCCCCACTGGCAAAACAAAAGTCATTTGGGGGGCCTCCCCCCCCACACTTTTCCGAAGAAATCAGAACATGGGGCCGGGGGGGGGAGCAGATTTTTGTTTGAAACAGGGAGAATTTCCCGTTTGAGGGTTTCGTATTTTGGGCAGGGGGGGGAGGGAAGCCTGAAAATGTTTGTTTCTTGCTCAAATGCTTCCTTCCAAAATGAAAACCCAAATTACGCCAGTAGAAAGGGAGAAACCAGTTCCTGGAGAGGGCGAAGATGGGAG